AGTTGTTGCAACAGCTAAAGTCTGTCTACACTGGACGAGACAAAGCGACCATTGAAATTCACTAGAAATTTGTATCAATACTTCATAAATAAAACACAGCAGCAGTTTTCTGTCAGGGATGTCACACTGCACCGCGCCACTTCGCATTCAGTGTAGACAGCATCACTGATTATAATGAGTTCTATAGTTGCCGTGCCACTCGCGTCCGGTATAGACACGGTGTTAGTGAGCAGAAGAGTTTTTTTTCACAAAAACACTGAAATGTTTCCAGAATATGACAGGTACTGTATAAAATTGTTACTATATTGCTTAAATACCATTAAATGGATGGATCTTTGGCTCAAGATCCTGGGATAGGCTTCAGCCCCGACGACCCTAGAGAGGATAAGTGGTTTGGAGAGTGAATAGATGGATGGATGAACTTCCAAAATACTTTGACTTGCTTTGATTTTGTTTCTATTCTGACTGCTGTTCAGCTTAAAAATACCTTTACATTATCGTTGTTTGTCATTTTGCCTCATTATACCTGCGCTAAACCTATTAAAATTAAGAAACTAATTAAAGTGTTTTTTTTTGTTTTTTTTACAGGATCCTATGTACCCAGCCTCAACCATTCATCAGAAGGACTGTGAAAGCGGGAACACTTTGAACCACCAGTGGCAGTTTCCACGGGATGAAAAGGGCATAGTAGTGGATGATGGGGGTACTGACATTAACCTGCCAAAAAAGGTTCATCTGTAGCATCGCCCCGAAACCCCCTTTTTGGTTCTTCCTGGCACCTTTTTTTTAAAGGGGTCATATGACGTTGTTAAAAAGAACATTATTTTGTGTATTTGGTGTAATGCAATGTGTTTATGGTTAAAAAAAAAACTTTTTTTCCACATAATGTACATTATTGTTTCTCCTCTATGCCCCGCCTTTCTGAAACGCATTGATTTTTACAAAGCTCATCGGTCCGAAAAGCGAGGTGTGCTGTGATTGGCCAGCTATCCAGTGCGTTGTGATTGGCTGAATACGTCAAGCGTGTGACGGAAATGTTACGCCCCAACCATAATGTGATGCCATGTCCAGGCGCGACAAGACAAAACCAGTAAAACCCATTATAAACTAAGCATTTGTTGCATCCAGTGGGGACATAATTACTGATTATAATGACTTATACTGTCTTTTTACGCGTTGCGTTGCGTATCACGCTGCGTAAACATTTAAAAATGTCTGCATTTGTGATCGGAGAAATGACAAACAAGTGCTACTCTACACTGCTCAAAACTCACGTTTGAATCATCAGTGGCAAATTCTTTAAATATGAAAACGTACTAACAATCTGTGAGTCAGAAGCGCCAGACTGTCCTTGCAAAGTTGGAACTGCCCCACTTTATAGAAACAGACACCGGCATTGTAGGCTACTCTCCCAGAAAACAGTCCTCGTCCTCCATAAAATGCACTACACACATCTGAATATTTGGGTTGAACTGTTCTGGAACAGTGTTGTAAATACAACTTAACCACTGATTTCTAGTCGTGTCCTCTTTTGGAAGACCAAACAAAGTAGTTTCGCTTTCACAACAAAACACAGCGTCTCCAACAACAGCGGCAACAACAATACTACAGCGAGAATCAAAGTTACGCCTTCTTTCTTTGCGTGAACATTTGGGCGGCATTATGCAAATCTTCCCACATCGTGACATAGACATGTGGGGGCATGTTAGAACGAGCTGTTTTAGGTAGGCGTGGTTGAATCATAACTTTTATAAAGAATATCTCTTTGGATTTGAGACTTTAGTCTTTGAAACTTTACAGATCTTCTTTATGCACAAAGCAAGGAAAAATTTTAATTGCATCATATGACCCTTTTAAGAGTGTAGATGAGTGTGCAACTGACCAATAACAACTGAGTATTCCGGCACACTGTTTATTAATATTGTGTATATATATTCTTCTCATTTTTAGGTCCTCAGACCATATGGGGTGAAGATCATGACAAGCAAACCAAAGGTGGACTGTAACCTACTGGACTATATGATAGACTTCATACTGACAACTGCCATGTATGCAGCATCAAAAGTTTTTGAAAAGAGGGGCATTACCTACACCAAGTAAAAGAGTGGAGGATTCATCTGGTCTTCATCGGCCCCCATGAGGTAGTAGAATAAATCAGCTTGCTTTAGGCCTGAAATGACTGAAATCTTCATCTCATGTTGATATCATTTTAAACATTCTTAAAAGTACTTCTCATTTCTTGTGAATGTATTTTGTAGTATGTGTAAAACTTTTCCAATAAAAACCTTGTTTACCTTTATTGATATTGTAATCAAGGTTGTTATTGAGACCTTGATGCACCCTATGGACTGCACACATTTGCCTGTGTTGGGCTTGTGTTTACAGGTAGTATAAAACTAGGCCTGCAACAACTAATCGATAATGAAAATAATCGTCATCGAATTTGATTAGTGCATCAAAACAAACAGACTGCTCATAATTCTGATGAAAATATTTTTTGTTAGAAAAATGGAGTGTAGGTTTAAAACCCTACATGTAACACAAGTAATCATATTTATGAGAGCAGTAACAGTAAAGGCACTATTGTTGGAATTATCCATTAATATAATATAATTACTGTTCAGACGAACGATTCCTCGTACCTTGTACAAGTTAACATTTTGTGTCTTTGTTTAAAATGTTTTAAATTATGTTTTAAAACGGCAAACAATCTGTTGTTTTTAGGTTTAGAATGTATTTATGTTCTACTGTTAGTGTTATCTGTATGCACCAAGGGTCTGAGAGTAACGCAATTTCAATTCTCTGTGTGTATGTGCTGTACATGTGGAAGAATTGACAATAAAGCAGACTTGACTTGACTTGTAATGTTTGTATTTTAACACTTTAATGCTTATAATGTACAGCATAACCTACATAGTTATATTCATTATATTTGCTTTCGTGGGCAGGATGTGAAATTACATTGTTTAAAATAATGGATTAAAATGATTCTAATTAAAAAATAATGTTTATTTATTTTTTTTATTTTTTTTGACATCCAATTAATAAAAAAATTATCTACAGATAAATTGATTATCAAAAAAATTGTTAGTTGCAGCCCTACTTAAGATATCGTAAAGGAGGTAGGCGGTACCAAGCCATGTGCACCAAGTCATGTTTATTTGTGACTTGACATGTAGCCAAGTATGGTGACCCATACTCAGAATTAGTGCTCTGCATTTACCCTTCCAAAGTGCACACACACACACCGTGAACACACACCCGGAGCAGTGGGCAGCCATTTATGCTGCGGCACCCGGGGAGCAGTTGGGGGTTTGGTGCCTTGCTCAAGGGCACCTCAGTCGTGGTATTGAAGGTGGGAGAGAGTGCTGTACATTCACTCCCCCCACCTACAATCCCTGCCGGTACGAGACTCAAACCCACAACCTTTGGGTTATGAGTCCGACTCTCTAACCATTAGGCCATGACTTTGTACAACATGTAATTAAATTCACGACTTTGTACAACATGTAATTAATTTCTATAGAGATAACGCATTATTACAGTGAAACAATTTGCCATTTTTATTTTGTAAATGAACAGAAAACCATCTCTACCACTGCAGTGCTTTTTCACCATTTTTTTTTATAAAGTTGTAGTTCATAGTTCTGAATTATTTTGTCATGTGAGAACAATTGCAACAGTTCATATTTCCTTTCAGATTACGTAACTGCTGTACTAAAGCCTGTATCATAGAATAGTAACTTGTGATTCTGTATTTTTTTGTAGATGTTTGTTGAATAACTAGGCTTAAATGTAATTTGAGGTGCTTTAGTAAAACCATGGTTAAACTATGGTATTACAGCCATAGTTAATTTGTGGTACTTGAACAATGGTTTGTAAAACCATGGTTTGCACCAAAAAACATGGTTACTACAGTCATGGTTTACTACAGTTTTACTGTAGTATTACTACAATATAGCTGTAGTAAAACCATGGTATCAGAACCAGGGTGCGAACTACAGGGGAGCTAGGGGGAGCTCGGCTCCCCTTATTAAGACATGGGCTTCCCTGAAAACGAGATTTGTGAAATTTTGGGGGGATCTCAAAAAATATTGACAATGTGTTATTTTGACGTGCAATTTCAGTTTTGTGTAATGTGATCATCGTGGATTATTATGTGTAAAATTGCAAAAATATCATTAATTCATGCATGATGGCGATTTAATCCTAATTCACTTCAATAAAGATAACTATACATGCTATTCTTGTCATGAGCATCAAAGTGTGGGGGTGCAGCGGTGCAAATTCCACTCATGTTTAGTACATGTTAACTCAAAGATTCATACAAAAAATGTAAACGTTGGACTCAGTGGTCGATTCTGTGTGGGTGGCTGTTTGTTGTTTCATCTATCAATTCATGTCGATAAAGTATAATAGGGTAAATCCTGTATAGTGATTTATCCTATATAGTGCTTGCATATGGGTAGCTGTTATGTATCTTTGTAAGTCATTGTAAGCCCTCTTTTGAGGCATGCGCAAAAAAAACTATTTACTATAAAACCATAGTTAATTTTCGTAAGGGATGCCACCTCCTCCCAAAAGCACACACTAAGTGTGTCAGTGTGAAGTTTCAGATGCTCTGCGATGGGAGATATTTCATTCAGCAGCACTATTAATACTCTTTTCACCCACTTCTGTTACTAGCCACACTGCTATACGCTTAAAACAAGACTAACTGGATGTGTGATGCAGTTTTATAATTGTATTTGCAACCATACTTTATCTTAGTTAAGCTAAGCTGATATTTTGAAACAGTTGCTTGAATGACAATTCTGGCACTTTCTTTAAAACTATTTTCAGCTCTTATATTATTTAGCTCGTTTTAATCCACAGCAGCATTTTATTGATCATACTTGCGATGAAGCCAAATTAAGACCTGGCGTTATATCTCTAGCGTTTTGCGAGCATATTATGAAACGAAATGTAAAGTTAAAGTCACACTCATGTTAATAACTTACTATTTCAGCGGCCAGGATGGTTCCTTTCCGAGTTCGCACAAAGCTCATCAGTTTCTCCAAACAGCCTCCAAACGGACTTCCCCCAGTTTCTGCCATTCTGAAGATGTTTTCCTATGAAATAACGCTTTCTTATGAAGCCTAGCGTCCGTATCAGCAAACGTTCACAAACACGGTCTGTTAAAAGGCTCCGTTTATAGCTAACGCAGCTTCTGAGTGTCCGAGCCACAGTCTGGTCAGAGCAGCAGATGCGGACTGGAAAGTGTGAGTGTGCGGGGCGTTGGCTAAGGCTTTATAGTGTCTCGAGGGTAATTCACGGGGAGAGAGCGAAACCAACAGCCCTGCTCTGTATGGGGTGTACTTTATGCACTTTTTGCTGATAAAAAAATAAGTGAGAGGAGAACTAACGTGTAGACGCTCGCCAGCCGTCTGGCCAAAATCCCACAGTATTCAGGCGTGGCGGCGACATAGCAAAGAAAGGATTTTTTAAACTTTGTGTCTGGATAAGTACGTGTAGATAAACGTACATGTGAATAAGTACATTGATAATCATTTGGCGTTGTCCCAGGTGTGGTGTTTCCGTATGGCAGTCCATACCCTAGCCCAGTCAGGTGTGCCGTGGAAAATCCAAACTCTCTATTATATTTCGTTATTATTGTTTTAAATCACTGCTATTGGTCTTCCTTATGTCTGTTTGAGGGTTTTACAAATATTTAACCAATGAAAAGCATTCAAAAGAGCTTGTCACTGAACGTTTTAAAGCTATGGATCCTCAAACTGTCAGCAAAACTTCACCCTTCTTCCATTCAGAACAAAGCGCCGCGCGGCGCGCGCAGCCTGGAGACTGATCTCGGCTTATTCGCAATGCAAGGGTAAATAATAAATTATGTTTGAATAAGTACAGCGTTTTCTTCACTAAAACACTATGTCTATAAAGGCTAATGTTTTTGTGTGGTTGGAGAGCGGAGAATAGCTTTTGCCGTCTAGTTGTTACCAATAGGCTACTTTTGTATGCTACGTTTTAAATATCCTGTGCATATAGCGCTTCATTGTCTATCATGGGATTTTGGCCAAGTGTTTCAAAGGACATGAAAAACTGAGCGCCCATATAGCTACAATAAATGTTATAACCTGTAAGTTGCTGAAAGCGTATAATGCGGTGCACTGCTGCCTCAGATGAGGCCGTTGTAATGACAGACAAAACACAGATCTCCGTCATCCGCTGGTCAAAAACCGTGTTAACTCCATTTGAGCTTGATTTTCATAAAATGTTAAGTGCAGGTGCCTGATAAAGTCACATACCAACTCTGACGACGCAGTGTTTAATTAATATAATTTTTTTTTTTAAAAACCTGTTAGGTGCATATCCAATCGTTTGGATATAAAATTAAAGTGGGCTTTGCTGGACATGAAGGTGCCAGCGCGATCACTTGCATTTTTTTTTAATAACAGTGGAAACTAAAAAATATGCCGTCCTTTTTGCTCATAAAGCTAAGAGTATGCATCATTCGGAACTGCAAAGGGTCTACTTGTATTTGTGTGCACTCACAATATCAACTAAATCTTGTGCTTTTGTAAAGCAAGAAAAACAAACAGGATGTGCTTTCTGTCGTCTTGGTCTTGTGCAGGAGCTTCACCGACATGTTACATATATCTATAGAATGCTTTAAATTACTATTTTAAAACGAAATAATTCAAATCGAAAACAAAACCTCTTTCATTATGTAATCCCTAAAGATGAATTTCTCTCTAAAGGCACGTCCAATGAGGAGATGGCGAGCAACATTGAATTTTTGCAACATTGACTCATAAAACATTGGTTTATTAACAAATAATACAAATATCCCCTCACTATTTTTTACTTTTTTTTGGTTTTTATTTATTTATTTTTGTTTTTTGGGCCGCTGTGCCAAAATTGTGTTTGCATTCAGTAGCCTATACTGCAGCATTTTTGTGCCATGTTGAAAAATAACTAAATAAATAAGATTAACGTCATAATATTCTAAGAATAACGTTAAAATTAAGATAATAAAATCATGTTATATTGCGTGAAGTTAATGTGAAAATTCCACATATATGCCTACTCCTCCTCCAAAAAAAGTCTGTGGCATCCGTCATTCTTTTGACTTTTTTAAAAACTCAGATTGATCTATTCATGAGACATTCGTTAGTATTAAATTGTTCTGATTTTAACATGCGTTCAAATATGCATGTTCGTTTCATGCTGCAAATATTAAAGAGGAAAATATCACTGATTTATATGCAGCTTGAACTGAGGCGAAGCTCACTACAAATTAATTAAAGAGCGTAAAAAGACGTTTATTGTTTGTATTTTATCATAAATTTGACAGAAGACTGAGACTTTGTATCAACAAAGCTGCGATTATTGAGTGGCTTGCGTGCTACAAATAATGAATGGACTTGAAAATTTGAAACATTAAAATTTTCAGGGGGGGGTACAATATAGTACAATTTTTTTGGGGGGGGGGGAACAAATTTTTTTTGCATATGGGCCCGGGGCTGACTCGTTTCGCCACTGTCTCCCTGCGACTGTGATCATAAGGCTTCAGTAGATATCAACACATGGACAATAGGCTACTATATGAGCTACAGCCTTATTTTAATAGACATAACATTTGAAAATGAAAATGTGTCAAACTGGGTAGACCAGTTTCAAAACATTTTCAAATAGGCCTATGTATAAACATTTATTAATCATTTATCAATATATAGGCTCTTAATATGAACATGTAGAGTAGCCTACAACAAACTGCTCTTGTAATAAACAGCTGTATGACATGAAAAAACAAAAAAACTAAACCTGAACTCTGAAATAATAGACATCTGCTGATCATACAATTAGCTAGTTTTCAGAAAAGAGGTCTATTGTATAGTGAATTATTTTTTTCTTTAGAGACGTGTTGTATTAACTATTACCAGTAAGTTCATATGTGCTCCGATTAACATTAGCCTATATTATTATATTGTATTATTTTATTTAAACTATAACTGTGAATATATTTGGATGCTCCATGTTAGTCACTGAATAGGCTTACATGATTTTCAACTGATTTTTAGGTGATATTGCATGAAAAGTGAATTATAATGAGTGCTCAAAGAAAAAAAAAACTCAATTATTTAAGCTGTTTATTTTAATATCAAAGCCTATGTGATAACAACCTTAGGCTCAAAGCTGTGATATTAATATTGTCCACTAGAGAGAGCCACCGTATAGGAAATAGGCCTATTTGAAGTTTATTTTGAAAAATTAATTTCCACACTTTTGAACAGAAATAAATGTATATAACAATTTAATTTAACTATGATGTACTGACAGTATAGTTTTATATAATCAGTGTACATTGCTTATCCCAAAGATTTTCCAATTGTTTACATTTTCCTAAATGCTGTCTTAGTTTTTCTTGATTACTAACACTCAATTCATGAAACAGTTCACCACTTTCTCACAACTATAAACACATTCTCGTGACAAACAAACTTGTACAAACTTCCATGTCAAAATCAAATACTCCAGTCAAAAACCCCTACTTCTATCAATATCAAACTTTGGCCTCAGATG